CCTGAACGTGGGTGTGGTGAAACAACAGTCACTTCAGAGTCAGTGTGGTGAGGCAGTAGTCACTTTAGGGTGAATGTGGTGACTCAGTCGCCATACAATTCGCGTAAAAAGAAGAAATCACAACACACTCCCATTTCTAGAAGTCTTGATCTGCTACGTTCAACATAGTTTAAAATTGAAGACTTACCACCAGTACAAGTGGTCTCTTAAGAGTAGATGGTCTGTAACTATCATAGTGGTAGAAGGAACTACTACAGTACAGATGGTCTGTAACTATCATAGTGGTAGAAGGAACTACTACAGTACAGATGGTCTGTAACTATCATAGTGGTAGAAGGAACTACTACAGTACAGATGGTCTGTAACTATCATAGTGGTAGAAGGAACTACTACAGTACAGATGGTCTGTAACTATCATAGTGGTAGATGGAACTATTACAAGAGATAAACACACTGGGTCACTGGAAACATCACACATTCGCAACACTTAAACATCTTTACTGCTGAAACGTTTCGTCTGTTTAGTAGGTTTCTTCAATCTAATACAGAGGGACTTATAAAACTGCAGACAGTGGGACAAGTTTAGAAGTAATTTCTTGTAGTCAGTCCCTCAGCTTCAATAGAAGGTGGTCAGTCCCAATGCTTGTGAGTATTTTATTCAATTAATAATCTGATAAGGGTAAAACGTCGTCTGAATAAAATTTCCAATTGCTGCTTGTGTGTTTTTATCAATTACAAGAGTGATCTCATTCAGTTCTGGTCGTACCATCAAACACAGAGAAATACTCACAAGATTAGCTGATTGAACGGATGTCCGAGCCCATAGCAAGCCAGTCCTAGAACTAGCAAGCCAGTCCTAGAACCAGCAAGCCAGTCCTAGAACCAGCAAGCCAGTCCTAGAACCAGCAAGCCAGTCCTAGAACCAGCAAGCCAGTCCTAGAACCAGCAAGCCAGTCCTAGAACCAGCAAGCCAGTCCTAGAACTAGCAAGCCAGTGGGGCCGATGATTATCCTAGTGTGTGCGCAAGAATACTTACAATTGAAGAATTGAGACATTTCTGCAACATATGGGAATCTATATTGAAGAAACGCTTCGCCACACAATAAAGATTCAATGAAGATTCCCATATGTTGCACAAGTGTCTCAATTCTTCAACTTGTCGGTTTTCAAAACCATTCATCAGATACTGATAAATGAAAGAATCTTATTACGCTGGAATGGTACAGTAGATAACGTACTGGACAGCAAGTTTTAGCACAGACTTCCAATAGGTACAAATCCCAGTGAATCACACAAAGTTCTCCTTGAGAACACAGAGGGGTTTGTACCCAGGAATTCTTGCAAGGGAAATGCAACACGGTTAGCAAACATTCAATATGCCGTTTCCCTCTACATTTTATTAAGGATTGCAAGAAAAAGGATCACAAAATCTTCAAATACTGATAGGAAAAGTTTTTTTTTTTTTTGAAGAGTCAAAACATACATGTGGAATGCCACACTCTGAGGTTTAAATTACCTCACACTAATGGTACTTATTTACCAAGAGGGTTATAGACCAGTGGGACAATCTGCCAAACAGATCAATTACATCTGAGGTATACAATACTGACAAGAAGATAAACAAGAGATGTGCAACACCTGGGTATCTATATAGGAGATATGTTTCGCCTGCACGGCAGACTATCATTGTTACATGTGGGTGGGGCCAACAACTGGGAGTAGGTTATGCCCATAAGATGGAATACAGATTCAGCAAAGGAGTTGCACATGCAGAGAGAGGTAGAAGTTGAAGACGTGGTCACAAGTGGGTGGAACCCACTAGTGGAAGTACAATATGCACAGAGGGTGTACTAGAGGTTACCTCTGAAGTGGCAGATATCCTCTGTACCAAGATTCTATGGTGCTGCTGTGTCAGACAAGTAACTTGTTGGCATTGTATAGACTTGATGTAATAACTGTATAAGGCAGCAACACTAAAGCACAGAGAATATCTTTCCTTCGCTTCTGCCATCCCAAACTCTTCCTCTTCTTTTCTAGTTACCATCGACTTACAAACAACTGGTTGTTAGCGCCGTCTAGCATCGCCTCACAAACAACTGGTTGTTAGCGCCGTCTAGCATCGCTTTACAAAACAACGGGTTGTTAACGCCGTCTAGCATCGCCTCACAAACAACAACGGGTTGTTAGCGCCGTCAGGCACATATGCAATAACAAAATAACAATTACGTACAATCTGCTTTAGCAATTTCGACTCTAATTTAGAGCCTAACATTAACACTACATCATATGTTATAAGATCGCTTTTGATGAGGTGGATACCCAGCATGGGTATGCTTGTGGCTACTTAAATAATGATACCCAGCATGGGTATTAATGTGGTTACTTAATGGTATCCAGCCTGGGTATGCATGTGGCTACTTAATAATGATACCCATCATTTGTATGTCTGTGGCTACTTAAATAATGGGTAGGCCATTAGTTTCATACTTACTGAGCGAGTCATCATGTGATTAACACCTATGTACTCAAGCATTTTACACTGACCAAGAAAATGCAGAGATACAGAAAAAGAGAGATACAGAAAGATACATAGAGATGTAGAAAAGGAGAGATGCAGAGACAGCGCACAGAATTCCAAGAGATCATGAGCAGGCGATTTCAACGCGGCACCGGTCACACAGGTAGTGATCCACACCCTTGATCACCATCTGCTCCTCGACCCTTATGAATGAGGACCGGTTACTGACTGATGATCTACACCTACTAACTGGAGAAAGGGGACAGTAAGGGGCCCAAGGAAAGTGGACCAGGGGAAAGTGAAGTGTGTCAGGAGTAGCGAAGAAAGCCAAGTAGAGGTAAAGAAGAGTGAAGTAACGAAAAAAAACAGGTTAAGAGACAGAAGAAATAGGATAATGTAGCAAGGCAGATTTTAGAAATTAAGTAAATAAAAATGAATATATCTTTTCATCACCGTGGAAGAGCAGAATATAATAAACTTCCGGCTATAGAATATTTGGTGTATTAGAGTTTATTTCCATTTAAATGTTAGATTTAAAACAAACTTTCGACAAACAATAGCTTCCTAAAATAAATTCAATGGTAGGAAATTTGAGAGAACGTTTTCACTCCAAGAACGAAACGTCGTCCCAAGAACGCCTTGTTATACATGTCTTTGCTGTCAGTCAGAAATGTCGCCAAATGACAAATTAACAGCAACAATGCTTACAAAGCTTCAGGATCATGCACAACCAACTGATAAAATACAGGAGGGGTTACTAGTATAGTCTAGTAAGTATCATGGTAAACCACGTGTGTTATGACTTGCATACATAGTGATACAAAAAAAAATGACAGGGAATTCAGTGACTTCACTTTCAAGCGACTACTATAGTCATGGCCAGCTTAAGTATCTTAGACCTGATGGAACCTTCGAAACCAGCTGAAGAAATGTATGTTGAGACCAGATGTCAGTAATCACACAGTGGATGACTTAGCTACCAAACCTTATTTTGACTTTCGAATTTCGAAGGTCATCTTAAAGTTGACAGTCTGAGGTCTCAGAAGGTCGAAGTCCAACCTGAGACGCACAAGAACAGTGACCAGGATACAAAAACAAAGATATAGCCAGGAACACAGAGCAAAATAAAGCCAAAAACACAGACCAAGATATATCCAGAGGCCACGGGAAACACACACGGATACAGAAACAGAATGGATGATACAGACACACAGACACACACCAATAAACATACACACACAGGGACACAGACCAAGACAGACACACACTCAAAGAGACAGACGCACACGGAGATACACACGAAGATAGAAACCGAGGCACAGACCAAAGCACAAATAGGGACACAGACCAAAATACACACAAGGACACACAGACAGTGACACATGGGGTGGAAATACGCATTTAGACGCTGCCCTGGTGCGCATCCAGGAGATCACTGGCCCATTGTTCACGAAGACTCGCCACAGCAATTACAAATTTGGCGAGACTTCTCTTTGAAAAAAGCTCACAGAAGCAGAACCATTTAAATTTCGTACCCAAACACCCCAATTGTACCTTGCAAAGGACACCAATGCACCTTCAAAAATACAGCGATGCTGCACAAATCAAACAAAAAAAGAATACCGAGTATAATGACTTTAAAATTTCATCACATCACTATTAGAATACATAAAAAAGTGGTTAAGTATTTGTGAACAGCCATTCAACAGTTAGGTTGCGTCACTTCCGATAGTTAGTAATGCGGAGGAAATTACCCCATAATTCAAGTGACGTAAATTCTACTGTGACAGTGATTTGTGTAATTTTGTGTTGTGATCATGAGAACTGTATGAGAATGAGGGCAAACATGGAGAGAGAGAGAGAGAGAGAGAGAGAGATTATAATTATTATAATCATGGGGAACGCTTAACCCGTAGGATTATATGGCGCACGTGGGGGGGGGGGGCATGGAAGGGATTCAGGCTTAATTCAGGGAACTGGAGCACAGATCCAATTTCCTAGATAAGGATCCCCTCACCAGCATCAAGGAACCTCCCTTGAGGGGAGAGAGAGAGAGAAAGAGATAGACGACCACAAATAGATAAGTACACACAAAAATACACACACACACATATACACCGTGACAGAAAAATACAGACAAACACACACACGGGGACAGAAAGACACACACACACACACACACACAGTATTGACAGAGCTTAAACACCAATTTAGCCATGTTCAGCATACAAATTTCAGATGTAACTTAATTTGTATGACAAAAAAACACCAGATCCTTTGTTTATTCTGCTATTAATACATGTGAAGTTGTTGCTATCGTCTCCACTCGCTGCTGCTACCACCAATATTTTGTCTTCATCAGTTTCCCGCTATCTCCACCAATTTGTAGTGACGTACACACTGACATACAATGAGTTGTAGTGTTGTATACACAGTTGGCGATCATACAAGTAATGACAAAGGTTGGAAGGCTATCACGTACCTGTTATCGGAGTGTATAAGGGGGGGGGACGACGCTTCTGATAAACGGTTCAGGATATCGTAGTTAGGGCAGGATATAGTAGTTGGGGCAGCAGAGCTGGGTAGAAGAGGAGGATACTGTCAGTATGACGGCAGGAGCAACACTGACCCTCCAGCACAGTCTTCGTCAGCAGGTAACCGCTTACTGTACTCCCCACACCGTGGGGGTGAGAGTGAAGGGATGCCATTGGTAGTGAAGGGTCACAGCCAGCCAGTCAGCAACCTCGAGTCCCGCTACACCAACCAATCAGCAGCTTCGCGTCCCGCTACACCAGCCAATCAGAGAGAAGGTTTCACCTGGCATAGGGTGCCTCAAATTATTATTATAATCAAAAAGAAGCGCTAAGCCACAAGGGCTATACAGTGGGTGCCTCAAAGCTCTGGCTTAGTGAGTAAAGGCGAAAAAATTAGTATATTTTTTAGTGTTAATTCAGAGAGGGCGCGTCTCAAGACACCAGACCTTGGCTCTGACCTTTCAGTCCACTGTTGATAAATTAGACACCATGTGCAACACTTTGGGTATCTTTGTTGTGGAAACGTTTCTCCACACAGTGACTTCCTCAGTGGAATACAAAGAATAGTGAAGATCAGGAGGTAATTATTCCCTTCTTTGTACCGGACTGATGTGTGGCGAAACTGCGTGGCGAAACGTTTCCACAATAAAGATACCAAAGTGTCGCACGTGTCTAATTTATCAACTTGTCGGTTCTCTGAACCATTCATCTAGTCACTGTAGATTCTGTTCCCAGCCATCGTTGGCTAGCCTGGGATACTTAGAGAAAAAATAATAGCAATCGTATAGAGGCTTAACGTTCTATCTGGGTTAGATAGAACCTTGCTTGTATGTTGATAAAGTTATTAATATGTAGTTACCAGGATGGATTGAGTCCTTGTCTTTGTTATGTGATTCTGTAATTTTTTTTACTATCACCCACAGGATGGGTGTGATGTATATAACTATCACCCACAGGATGGGTGTGATGTATATAACTATCACCCACAGGATGGGTTTGATGCATATAACTATCACCCATAGGATGGGCTGAGTATTAACTGCCCCAATTTGTGTTTGAGGGGGTTGAATATCAGCTCTTGGATCCGTATCTTAAGCTACATCAATCGCCATTACTAGTTTCTGCGCTTTACTGTACCTAGTCCTGAAGCTGTGCATGAAACGTGCGTCAAGAACTTCCTCATCTTACAGACAGAATCAGTTCATCCTGAGACTACAAAATTACTTCCTTGGTTAACACTCATCTATATACTGTATTTAGTTTCCACAAGTGGATCCTTGTAACAGTCTCACATTGTAAACACAGTCTATATGAGACCTTTCAGTTCCTCTTAATATTTATCTGCTCATATGAGGCTTTTTATTTCCTCTAAGTAATTATTCGCCAAAGTCATTTTCTAGCCAAGGTCGCCATCTTTATTTCCTTCACTATCTTCTTGAAGTCTTCTCAGCTGAGACCACTCTGCTTGCAGCAAACTTTTGTACTTTTACGAGTTTGTTGACGTGCTTGATGGGAGGGAGAATTGATGCTGCTGTCAGGTTTCTAATTTCGCATGTCAGGGAAGTAATACCTGACGGGTATACCTCAGGGGATATGCTCGGTGTGATGCAAACTCCTAAATTTTTTATTCACTGATATTTGTAGATCCTCTCCTATGGTGGACTTCACTTTCGGTCTTCTCTTTCCTCTCCGTGTGCATGTTTGTGTTGATCTCCAGAAACAGTGCGTGACCTCTGCTGCAGCTTTACCAGGTCTCTCACGGAGACTGCTTCTCTTTCCTTATCTTCTTATACTTATTGTTAATTGATACCATCTGAAAACAATGAGACACGGACACACACACACACACGAATAGGTAAAACGCGATTTTTGGCTTAAACAGCAACGCTCTTCTTGCCGAATAAGACAAGCGAAACTTTGTGTATGCAATAATTTCGCAAAAATCATTCTGAACCTAACGAAAAAATATATTTCATTTCATTGTGTTTGTTTATTATTAAATTATTGTAAACTTATCTAAAAAATATTTAGTTGGATTAGGCTAAATTAAATTTCGCTTGTTATAATAAGGTTAGGTAAGTTTTCTAAGGTTCTTTTGGTACAAAATTATTAATTTTTACATTTACAAAAATGAAAAAAATATATCTTTAAACGTATAAGAGAATTTTTTTTAGAAAGGACTTAATTTTAAATGAGTTCTTGCTAACTGACCAGTTTTACCTATTCGGCACGATATACACACACACACACACACACACACACACATATATATATATATATATATATATATATATATAGTCATTGTTGTGGGACCACAAACTGTACACTCGACCATAATAATGCCTTGACCTGTTACCCTGACATAACATACATGTCAGTGACACTAAACCTGACATAACATACATGTCAGTGACACTAAACCTGACATAACATACATGTCAGTGACACTGAACCTGACATAACATACATGTCAGTGACACTGAACCTGACATAACATACATGTCAGTGACACTGAACCTGACATAACATACATGTCAGTGACACTGAACCTGACATAACATACATGTCAGTGACACTAAACCTGACATAACATACATGTCAGTGACACTGAACCTGACATAACATACATGTCAGTGACACTGAACCTGACATAACATACATGTCAGTGACACTGAACCTGACATAACATACATGTCAGTGACACTGAACCTGACATAACATACATGTCAGTGACACTGAACCTGACATAACATACATGTCAGTGACACTGAACCTGACATAACATACATGTCATTGACACTGAACCTGACATAACATACATGTCATTGACACTGAACCTGACATAACATACATGTCAGTGACACTGAACCTGACATAACATACATGTCAGTGACACTGAACCTGACATAACATACATGTCATTGACACTGAACCTGACATAACATACATGTCAGTGACACTGAACCTGACATAACATACATGTCAGTGACACTGAACCTGACATAAGATACATGTCAGTGACACTGAACCTGACATAACATACATGTCAGTGACACTGAACCTGACATAACATACATGTCAGTGACACTGAACCTGACATAACATACATGTCAGTGACACTGAACCTGACATAACATACATGTCAGTGACACTGAACCTGACATAACATACATGTCAGTGACACTGAACCTGACATAAGATACATGTCAGTGACACTGAACCTGACATAAGATACATGTCAGTGACACTGAACCTGACATAAGATACATGTCAGTGACACTGAACCTGACATAAGATACATGTCAGTGACACTGAACCTGACATAAGATACATGTCAGTGACACTGAACCTGACATAACATACATGTCAGTGACACTGAACCTGACATAACATACATGTCAGTGACACTGAACCTGACATAACATACATGTCAGTGACACTGAACCTGACATAAGATACATGTCAGTGACACTGAACCTGACATAAGATACATGTCAGTGACACTGAACCTGACATAACATACATGTCAGTGACACTGAACCTGACATAAATACATGTCAGTGACACTGAACCTGACATAATACATTACAATTGTCAGTGACACTGAACCTGACATAAGATACATGTCAGTGACACTGAACCTGACATAAGATACATGTCAGTGACACTGAACCTGACATAACATACATGTCAGTGACACTGAACCTGACATAAGATACATGTCAGTGACACTGAACCTGACATAACATACATGTCAGTGACACTGACCCTGACATAAGATACATGTCAGTGACACTGAACCTGACATAACATACATGTCAGTGACACTGAACCTGACATAAGATACATGTCAGTGACACTGAACCTGACATAACATACATGTCAGTGACACTGAACCTGACATAAGATACATGTCAGTGACACTGAACCTGACATAAGATACATGTCAGTGACACTGAACCTGACATAACATACATGTCAGTGACACTGAACCTGACATAACATACATGTCAGTGACACTGAACCTGACATAACATACATGTCAGTGACACTGAACCTGACATAACATACATGTCAGTGACACTGAACCTGACATAACATACATGTCAGTGACACTGAACCTGACATAACATACATGTCAGTGACACTGACCTATAGTTTAAAGTCATCTGTCTGGCCATCTTCTTAAACATCTGGACAACATTTGTTGTCTTCCAGACCTCTGGTAACTGACTTGTATGTTTTAGCTAATGTTTGTTCTCCCTCCCTCAGAGCTCATGATGATACACTGTTAGATCCCCTGTCCCTGATGCATCTGGTTCACTTAGCAGTTTATTACATATTTCCCTGTTGTACAGATGCAGTCCAGCACCCGCTGGTGTAGCCTTCCTGCTTCAATCTTATTACCTGGTAAGTAATCGTAAAGGTCCTAATATGATTTAGTTTTTATATCATCGTGAAGGTCCTAATATGATTTAGTTTTTATATCATCGTGAAGGTCCTAATATGATTTAGTTTTTATATCATTCTCATATTAATGCTCAGTCTTTACACCCGTACGAGTACATAAATTTCTCACTCTCCTGCTCATTTCCGTGTTCCCTATTATCCTTCCCTTTCCATGACACTATCCCCGACCCATCCAACAGGACGGAGAGATCCAGAGAACCAACCTCGCCTCCGTACCACCTGTAGCAAACCTCCAACACGATATTGTACCTTCTACAGTAACCTATGGAATTCTAGCTAGAGTCGCAATACCGCGTGTTAACTTCTGTGCCACGACCATATACAAAGATTCAGTACAAACAAACACTGACTCACGAAATCGCAATAACACGATTGAAGACAAACCAGGGAACGGGTGGGGTTTAAACCATCGCGTGTGAGTCGTAAAATTCCAGGCCAGTGCGTAAGCCACTGGCCAGCTGGCTGCACTAAGAGTCATCCAACTAGGTATATTTCTATACACTAGACATCAATGCATCCATTTGTCTCAGACAAACTACATCAGTCACCCCCCCATCAACTTGTCACGCATTATATCAGTCACCCCTCCATCAACTTGTCACACACTACATCAGTCACCCCTCCATCAACTTGTCACACACTACATCAGTC